TCTATTCTGCTAACTATATCACTCACTCTATCATGCCTGCCCGCTGCAAAGTTTATGGCACTGTTACATCCACATTTAGTCAAAAGGTAGTCCTACCATGTTCCTGGTAGAAGTACACATTTTGTAGCTCTAGGCTTCTTTCTTTTCAATGGCTTAATTCAAACTAACAGTTTCTTAATGTGTCCATTCAGGCTATGTGCAATAATTATTAGCCATCAGCTACAAAATCAGCCATTAATTCAGCACCTTTAACATGTAAACTGCATAAAAATGTGAGAAGAAGTATTTTTGTCTATACCTACCCTTTTATTTCAGTAGGGGGGATGTACATTGAATTGCCAAATTAACATGTTGCAGCATAGGAAAATGTTGAATAACAGAACAAAACTTTTTTCCCCATCATTAAGGGAGTGCGATGAAGGAACTACATGGGGTAAAGGACTTTGAAGTGGTATACCCACAAAAACTCCACGTATTGCACAAAAGAGATGTTGAAGGTAGTCAGAACCCTCACAGAAAGGTAAGCAAACAGTTTCCTCACCAGTGCAACTAAATTTGGGAAAAGATGTGACATATAATTATGGGTTCAGCTACATATGTAGATTGATTTTAATATTTGTAGCTCGAAGTGTCAGTCCACTACTGTAAACATTATATCATCATCTGTTTCGAAGCCCCTGGTCTTCTCCTACCAGAGGTGGCAAAGAGAGTTCCATTCCCAGCTGTAGGCCTCTGTAGTTGGATAGCCATTTACACAAAAAAGAAGAAGAGGAAATACATTTCCAAAAAGAGAAGAGAATGAAAGAAGGCATAAATTCGTACAAAATTTGTATGAGTCCATTTAAACATATAGGTTCATATTTATAAATTATTGCTATAATTAAGTGTAAAATGCAATGTATATCACCATAGTGGGTTTGATTGTGTGTCCTGTTTTGCCCCTAGGAAGCTAGCCAAACTCCCAGCTGAAAGGCTCAGCATTTTAAACAGGGAGAAGGAGAGAGAGTCCAAGCTCAGCAAGCCATCTGTAGAAAAGCGGTGGTCATCAAATCCAGTCCAGGTCCTTCATGAATCAGTAGTCAGTCAAGGAAAGCAGTCCAAAGAGTAATCCAAATGAAATAGTCAGATTTCAAGGCAACAGGCAATCAATGAATGAAGAAGCAGTATGGCTTTCTCCCAAGGAAGAAGGATGGTTGTCAGTCATAGAGGACTAAGGAAAGTGCTGGAATATTTATAGCCCATCCAAGTCTCATAGGTGCTCCCAATTAGCAGTGTGCTTCTTACTTAAACACTGAGAATGCTAGTGTCTTTCTCTTTCTTGGTGTCTGTCTGTGGGGGTAGGCATGGATAGGTCTGGATCTTCATCTGAGGGTTGTAGGTGCAGTGAACTTTGCTCTTGTGGCTGCTGGAAACTTAGCCCTGTGTTGGCTGCAGGCTCTCCTGTGGTCCAACGATGAACATTTGGAGGCTTATTGTATTCAAATTAAAGCAAGTTACTCCTGCTGGGATACAGTCACCTTGTGGGATGCAATCGGGAATTTTCACACTGAAAAATGTCACCATTGCTGCTGAGTGACTGCATCCTGGCTCCCAGCAGCTCTTAGTCCATCACTTTTCAAAAATGGGAAGTGGTGGGCTAAGAGTAGCTGGGAGACAGATTACAGTCACTCAGTGGCAGTGGCAGCTTTTTTCAGTGCGATAATTCCCAATTTCATCCCATAAGGTGACTGTATCCTGACAGAGTAAGTCACTTTATTTTTAATGCAGTAAGCATATTTTTCAGCTTCATGGTCCCAAGCCACAAATGTGATGATCGAAACATAATGAGGAAGTTGGGCCTAAGTTTTGAATTGAGAAATAGCTTTCAGTTACTGATTTTTAATTTTTTAAAAAGATATAATATTACATTATTCATCCACATTCTAACACTTTCAATCATAGGCCAAGCATGAAGATACCGTACAATATGAAATTAAAATGAATGGAGAGAAAGTACTTCTTCACCTAGAAAAAAATAAGTAAGTTTCACAGATGAAAACCAGGACACATGTTTTCAAGGCAGTATCAGAGTGTGATCAGGATGGCAAATGTTATTAATAAGTAGGAACAATCAAGGAGAGGTTGCAGCAGTTTACTTTTGCCTGAGACTCCCAAGAAGGACAAGTTTCTGTTCTCTCCTCTCTCCCACTGCTGAGTTAATTGAATGTAAAATATTTTTGCACTTTCATTGTGTTTTTGAGGAGAATGTTCTAATTTTATCTTTTCAGTAGAGTTCACATATCCTGGCAAGGTGTGCACAAAGGGGGAAAATTGTCCAAAACCTATTAATTATCCCAAATTACTTCCTTCTCTTTTTTTTTTGTAATTGATTGATTGCCATCATAGCATTTTCATCCCTTTAAGAATGAGGAGTACTCAAATTGAACTTAAAATCAAGATCTTAATAAAGGAAATGATGAACAGAATTAGCATTTGGCTAGTATCTGCATAATGATTAACCTGCAGAACAGGTTTCTTTGGATTTTCACTTATTAGACTAGTCAGGATTTGGCATTCTTTGTAAAAGTGCTGTTTTACAACTGGGCAGCAGTAGACACAAACTGAATTTATTTCCCAAGAAGCTACTCTTACCAGCTAAATTGGCTGTACTGCAGCGAAAAGGGAACACTTGCGCTCAGCCAGCAGTTCACTGTGCATTAAAACCAGCGAATGCACCATTCTTACAGACAGTGCTGTAGGGTAGTGACTGCTGAAGTGCAACTTTAGAATATGTTGATTCATATCATACATTTGCTGGCTAATCATTAAGTAATCTTAAAACCTGGTTACTCATTTCCTGGATTTGTAATCTGGTAATTTTAGTATGAGAGTCAGTGTGGTATAGTGGTTTGAGTGTTGGACTATGGTTCTAGAAATCAGGGTTCAATTCCCTTGGGCATGGGCATGGAAACCCACTGGGTAACCCTGGATAAACCACACATTCTCAGCCCCAGAAAATCCCATGATAGTCTGTTTTAGGGTCGCCATAAATTAGAAATAACCTGAAAGTACACAACAAGAACAATTTCAGTGTAACTCCCCCCCCCAAAAAAAACCACACACTTCAGAGCCAGTGTGTTCTAGTAGTATGACTGTTGGACTATCTCTCTGGAGACCAGGGTTTGAATCCTCACTTGGCCATGGAAACCCGCTGGGTGAGCTTTGGTGAGTCACACTCTCCCAGCCTCAGAGAAAGGCAAAGGCAAATCTGCTCTGAACAAATCTTGCTATGAAAATCCTATGATAGGTTCACTTTAGGATCGCCATAAGTTGTATATGACTTGAACGCACACAACAACAACCATTTTAGTGTATTCTGTTTCATTATTTTCAGATTGCTTCCATTTTATTGTGTTCTTGGGTGCTTTTTATTATTTACTTCCCCTATAGGCTATTTTATAAGTGTAATATAGTGGAACAGCATACTTCACAATACTTCTCAAATGAAAACTGGGACATACGTGGCCAGGCAACATAAGAGTGTGGTCAAGATGGCAAAAGTTTTTAATGAGGACGAACACACAAGCTAGGAGAGGCTGCTGCAGTTTGTTTTTGTCTGAGCCTCCTGGGAAGGGCAAGACTCTACTACTTCATTTCCTCCCTCTGTCCCATGTTATTTGAGTGCAAACTATTTGTGACCTCAACATTGTTGTTGTTGTTGTTGTTGTGTGCCTTGAAGTCTTTTTCAACTTATGGTGACCCTAAGGTAATTTTCTGGGGCTGAGAGTCTGTGACTCATCCAAAATCATCCAGTGGATTTTCATGCTCAAGGGGGGAATTCAACCCTCGTCTGTAGTCCAACACTCAAACTGCATCACACTGGCTCTCAGCCTGAACCTACAGGGTTGAATCACCCTGAACATGAGCCATATGATCTTATTCTAAAAAAATACTAAGTATCATTGCTAGTTATGGGCCACAAGGTCTTTGCTTATGTGCAACACTTTTATCTTTCCATCCAATTGAGAACTATTTTACGATAACTAGATGGGTTAGTGCATATGTGTTGTTGTTGTTGTTGTTGTTGTTGTGAACTGCCCTCGAGTCGATCTCGACGCATGGCGACCCTATGGATGAGCCATCTCCAAGACCCTCTGTCTTCCATTGCTCTGCTTAATTCCTGTAACCTCTTAATACCCATGACCTCCTTAATAACAGAGTCCATCCATCTGGCATGTGGCCTTCCTCTCTTCCTACTTCCCTCCACCTTTCCCAGCATTATTATCTTCTCATGATGTGTCTGAAGTACGAGAGCCTTAGTTTGGTCATCTTGGTTTCCAGGGAAGTTTCCAGCTTGATCTGTTTTAGGACCCATTTGTTTGTCTTTTTGACTGTCCATGGGATCCTCAGCATTCTTCTCCAGCACCACATCTCAAATGAGTTAATTTTCTTCCTATCACCTTTCTTCACTGTCCAGCTCTCATATCCATACATGGTAATCGGAAATATAATAACTTGTGTGATTCTAACTTTTGTGCTGAGTTGTATATCTTTGGATTTTAGGATCTTTTCTAGTTCTTTCATAGCCTCCCTCCCCATTCCTAGTCTTCTGCTAATTTTTCTGACTGCAGTTCCCATTTTTATCAATGTTTGATCCCAGATATGAAAATTCTTTTACTATTTCTGTTTCTTCATTGTCTATGTTGAACTTGTGAAGGTCCTCCTCAGTGGTCATTATTTTTGTTTTCTTTATGTTCAACTTTAAGCCTGCCTTTGCACTTTCTTCTTTGATCTTCCTTAGCAGGTGTTCCAGGTCTGTGTTTCTGTGTTTTTTATTCAGCAAATCTCTCTTTTTTTCCAGCATGTATCATGCCTGTCCTTCTCTTTTGCTATCCTACTCTGATGCTAAAAATAAACATAAAATGTCGTTGGAAAAATAAAGTTGTGGGCTTATTATCTAATTATCTCTGGTCCAGTTTAATTCTCTGATGAATAACAAACCCATTGTATTCTTTCCAGGGAACTTTTCTCCAGAGATTACACCGAAACTCATTACTCCCCTGATGGCAAGGAAATCACAACAAGACCTCAGACTGAGGTAATGTTCAGAACATCTTCTGTCTAGCAAATAAGTCACAGGAATGGTACAGGTCTGTGGAATATCCCACT